GGTTTATATTTAGCACAAATTTTCTACGTTGAAGATCAGTTTTAGGTTATTACAACAACGGTTGTTGAAGAATTGTTCCAAGCGAGGTCTCACATGCAGAAGAAATAAAAAAAAAATGGTGGGGGGAAAAAAGATTGATTAGATAAATGATTAATATTGATTCTTATGTTCACATATCCTTGAAATAATAATTTGGGGCGCAGATATCGAATATTCGCACGCATAAGACTAGTTGATTATACTAATGGATTACTTCTTTGCTTTTAGGCATTGAGCTGCAACCCCTGCATGTGAGGAAATCTCGGGATTGAATCCCTCTGCACAAGCTTGGCAACCCTGTTTTTTTTTTTTTCTTTTCTTTTCTTTCTTCTCTTCCACCTTACTCGATCCGATCTTACCTACCGGGAAACTTAGAAAAGAAAATAATAAAAATTGCAGTTACTTACTGCTCCCTCAAGGTATTTCATGATCATTGTAGCAGAAAAATTGTACGAAATCAAAGCAAAGTCCAATGTGTCCACTTGATTATTTCTTACCAAACAATATGATTATTAACACACAGTATTCCTCCCGTTACCTGTCTATTTTTTCTTTGAATAGTAAAAATTGCTTATTAAAGGGAAATCAAGTACAGTTTTTATAGCTGCAAATTGAATATAATTATATTATAAAAAAAAGGAGAGAAAAGAAAACATCATGGCTTAAAAAAGAAATTGGCAAGTTGATTTTTCCAAATCGAGCACACAAGTGACAAAAAGCATTTTGGCATCATGGCACGTGCTAACCCATATATTAAAAAAAAATTCATGAAATATATATTTTTTACATTAATGTTGTGAACCCTAGTTTAATTTGATTAAAACTAAAGTTTTGTGTTAGTATTTCTTTTTTTTTTTGCAGGGAATGATGCGTTACACATGAAGGACAAACAATTAGAATCAGAGTGGAAATAATAATAGAGGAAGCTGACATCAGAGGGACATGGTCCAACTCCCACCTTTTATTTTCTCTCCAAATTGGACCAGATTTGCTGAGAAGAATCTAATGCAGGCACCCTGCTTTCGCCTATTCCTCTTCCTCAATATCATAGTTTCTTTTTCTTTATTCAATTTTTCTAATGATCGAATGGAATATATTAGTTTTCACACTTAATCTTTTTCCCCCAACTAAAAGGAATATGTTAGACACACTTTCAAAAGGTAGAAGATGAACCATTTGTCCAAGATTAAAATTCCCATATTCATTTTTCGCTTTTTATTCTCTTAATTTTTAATTAAAATTATATGGAAAAAAACTCCTATGGAATTAGCTTAATCATTACTCTTAATCCCAATCATAATGTTATTTATAAGATCAATATACAAGTAGAAATCTCAATTATAATGAAATAAGAATTAATATATA